GAACCACAAATTGCAAACATTTCAAAGGGATTCACGTATGAGTTTTCAGGATATGACACGTGGGAAGCTAGATACTTTGCCATGCTGTAAAGGTGTCCCTACGTGATCGACACCATGTTCTTTCCCTCCATCAAAGAGTAAAATAATTGAGGGGTACATATCAATGTAACAACCAAGGGAAAGGGAAATAAAATAGTAGATAGAGAGCCTGATTTTTCTATGCGTTGATGTGAACTCAATCAGGCTAGTTGACAATGTCATCATGTTTTGGACGGCTAAGATGATCCAAAAAGTGTGCTGGCTTCCATGACTTTAATCTCAACTGTCCCTCCAACAAACCACAAGATGGAGGACGGATCACTTTCGGTTTACACGCGTAAAAAAGCACACGTGACATCACATGCTTCAACTACTTTCAAAAAGAGCCTTCAATGAAATGGGATAGGATTAGCTTAGCCACCTATGTTTTTCTTTTATTTTGTTTATTATTCAACTATGTTTAAAACAGTCTAGTTGTGCCACCTATGTTCTTGGTGTAAGAAGCAGCTGTTCAAAATGTGGTGAAATAGGTTGAGATCGTCAATTTGGATCGCGAATTGGTTGGGATTAAACTGGTTTTATAATGGTTGTGGAGGTGGTTTCATCCCTTCATTTCACCCACTCATTTTATATTTTCTCCTTTTAAACTTATCTAATGTTTTGTCACCTAACCCCTTTTTCATAAATCTCTATATTAAACTTTTTATTTTTTAATATGTACAGATTACGGATTCCGAACGATAGAGATAAGCAATCCAACGAACGACATAGATCTATAACGTGGGTGATATCAGGGTTTTGAAAAATGAACATTTTGGGAAGTTGCCAAAAACAATGGGGAGTGCATTGAGGTGTATTGTACCATTGACTTTATTCAGTCAAGCGAAGAGAACACCTAGTTTTAGGGATTTTATAACCTGGATTTTCTTTTTTGCGAATTACTTTCATTTGTGCCATGGTTATATAAATCCTCACCTCAAATCCCGTCAAAAAATATGGTTAAGTGCAGGAAAACTTGGAAATCAGTTATCTCTGCCAGAGCCCTAAAAAAGGCTCATTACGCAACATGTTTGCAAATTATGCATTTGAAATAGTAAATTATTTTGCTAGATTATATCATTTTTGGAGCTTGAAATTTCATATTTATGAGTACAAAATTTACAACCACCACAAGGGTTTCCAGAGCCAAAACAATTTACAGTCACCACAACGGTTTCCAGAGCCAAAACTGCATTTTCTAACAAGATTTTGAGGTGCATCTTTACCAAATTTCCTAGAACTGCAGCTTCAACAAAACCACACCCATTTTCAAAATGATATTTGATTGACATTCCTAATTGATTTCTAGTACGAGCAAGAAAAATTATTTGAGCTAAAATTCATGACCATTGTGGATTTTCCAACCAATGAAGGTTCCATTGTGAATCACTGTGGGGGGATAATATTTGAGGCATTTGGACCCCCAATATGGTGTTTGAGCTCGGACCAAATCTACAATTTGGTCTCACGCCACCACCCAATATTTTCCCAACCGAGCTAGTGAATCCGCATAGTCATTTGCTTCCCTGTAGACATGCTGATAGGAAACAACCAAGTTATCTGCAACCTTTAAAATTTGTAACCACGAACTGTGGAGAATCCAGGTCTGTTATTTGGTGCACCATCTAATGACATCTAAAGAATTCCCTTTCACAATACAACTCACTCCCAACTGTCTAAAAGGTTGCAACCTTAAAACAATCCAATTAAGGTGCACCTCCAAATTTTATCATAACATATAATTTTGGTGCAAATAATTATTCGGATTATCTCAAAATCTATTTATATATCTAATTATAAAATTTTAAACTTCAAAATAGAGAAAATCAAGTAGATCTATAAATATATGAAAATCTTGAAAATGGATGGTCTAGATAATGTGTTGTAAGATGTACTATTTTTGGGACTCAAAATCTTTATATATATATATATATACATCTCATTGTCAAGATGGTCAATTAGAGGGTTTTTCAATATTAAAACAACCTTTTCGGATGGATTTTGTCAAGATGGTCAATTAGAGGGTTTTTCAATATTAAAACAACCTTTTCTGATGGATTTTGAGGTATATATGTAATTCTACATTTTAAGATTGCAACCTTGTTATATTCGTTTTCCTCTTTTTTTATTTTTTATTTCTTTGAATATATTTTGCTCCGCTTTGCCTGGTCTTGGATTGGGCAAGGTTGGGTCTGGGGCATGGGCCCATTTGGCTTGGTCCAAGCACAGCTAGCCCTTATCTTGAGTCACTAGTCACCACTAAAATCAATTACACGGGGAAATTGGTTTGAAGCCTCACATATCAAGTCAATTTTTTTTCAAATTTTTTCTGAAAGGAAAATATATATTGTCTATTAAGTTAATATAGAAGATATATATTGTATCTACCCTTTCCAAATATACAAATTAAAGTGTATATTATTCTATCATGTTAATATAAAATGTATATGTGGTAATTTTCCTTTTGAGGTTCGCAAGAAGCATCATAACTTAAAAATCCTTATCCAAAAAGAAAAAAGAAAAAAAAGAACAAGTGACCTATGGGTGCCGGACCATGTGTAAAAAACAAACATTGATAAGCTGATATGGAAGCCCCCAAGATGCATCGTAACTCAAAATCTTCATCCAAAGAAAAAAAGAACAAGTGACCTATGGGTGCCGGACCGTGTGTAAAAAACGAACATTGATAAGCTGATATGGATACCAATGTGGGACCCAAAGCTCAAAACATCGACAAATTTATAAATCGAACATTGTGAAGTTGCACGATTCATCTTCATACCGTAACCCAAAGTCAAACGCAAAAAGCTTACGCTCACAATGCCCAAATTATGCCAACATAGAGAGAGAGCCAAGAGAGAGATAGTGACTGTGGATTGAGAAATAAGGGCAAAGACATCTAATCTAAATATTGAGTTGTCCAATAAAGGGAGAAAAACAACTCTCAAAACCAAATTTATAGTTATGTGGTGCCCAAAAAAGGAAAGTGAGAGAGTGAAACATTTATCTATGCTAAATTTCCTTTTAGAGAGAGAGAGAGAGATTGATAGAGGTCCCCTAAAATACGGAATTCCTTAGCAGAGAGATTGAGGATCCGGTTTTAACACCTGGGAGAGAGAGAGAGAGATAAACAAGTTTCCCACCATTAGAGATTCAAACAAAGAGAGAGAGAGTAAAACAAGTTTCATATGAAGAACATGAAATTTTCAAACCAGGAGACAGAGTAAAACAAGTTTCTTGCGGAGAATATGAAATTTGATTGGTGTCATCATCTCAATGGAGCGCATCCAAAAAATATTTTTAAAGAAAAGCTTAAAAAAAAGAGTGATTTACTTGTGGACTTTAAAATGTTTTCAAAAATATAAGATGCTCTATTTATAGGTGGAAGACCGAATTTTAAAATTTTTTTTTGTTAGTAGGGCACTATCCTAAAGCTTGGAAAACTGCCCTTGCCCTACTAGCGGAAGAACAAATAATAATAATAATAATAATAATTTAAATTTGATTTGAGAATTCCTTGTAATTTTGAAAAAAACAAAGCTAAGTTGACCGACCTCTTTTGTAATTTATACCCGTGGAAGAATTGATTTGTATTTTAATTATTTTTTTTAAGTTACGTGTATAATTTGTAACAAGTTTCCTATACAAGAGTGAGAGAAACAAGTATAGAGAGAGAATAAAACAAGTTTGATGCGGCAGAGGTTGAGGGTCGGAATTTGTGAGCGTAGACGTGGAGGCGCACAGAATTTTGTATTTGGGCATCTCCTCCTCCAGCAACTCGGGTACCATTTTAAAGCAACATGAAGGAAACACATCTTTACCGATTTGTGGGCTTCTAGAAAAGCTCAAACCCACCAAAAACACCGCATACCATAAATACCCCATGTGGTCAATGATAACACCAAAATTATTGGTAAACTATTGGATTCGGCCAGACCAGTGCTGGCCCGAAGCCCGGCCGAGGATCTCAAAGGCCCAACCTCGCTCTAACCTAGACAATGGGGTCTAGCCTAGGCTGTCCTAGCTCTAGGATTAGGTGTTTAGGCTCTAATTTTGTTCGTGAGGTTAGATATATAGGGCTGGCAATGGGAAAAAAGGCTCGGCCCTAAAAAACTAGGGCCTGGGCCACAAATTGTGGCCCCAGCAAGACCGGTGATGAACCACCAGGGCGTGCGCGGCCTGGCCAAATTTTTCTTTTGTTTTTTCCTAAATGTTTTTTAGTATATTAGGATATGTCAAGACCAAATAGGGGCGGGGCCGGGACTAGGTCATGGTCTCTTTGGCCTGGTCAAGGCCAGCCCTATAGGGCTTTGATCCGTGCTAGGGCCAAGGTTGGCCCCTAGCCTAGTGCAAGCCATACTCGGGTCAGGGTAGGTCAGTAGATATTAATTTTTCAAAAGCAAAAAAAAAAAGTACCAAGCCGACCCGAGGCAAGCTATGACCATGACCCTGAGTAGCTTGGACACTGGGGACTAGATTTGAAGCCCGAACCCAACCCTAAAGCCAAATTTACCAGCCTAGGCCTGAGTTGTCCCATTCCGGGCTCATTGGGCTGAGGCGGCAGGGCCATTGCCGCCCTAGCTTTAATTGACTCTCTTATGGAAGCTAAGGCCTTCCTTTCTCTCTCTAAGATAGGATGTTCCTCTCTCTCTAGAAACGGAGAGAGGAAGAGAGAGAGAGTGAGAGAGCCTTCGCATGCAAATGCAGTTACGAAACGAAACGCTGTCTGAAACGAAGACGGAAGAAAACGAGACGTTATAAAGTCCAACGAATTAATGTGACCGGTGCCGGTTGACATTTGGAATCAAAGTTGCACCGCCTACGCCCAGATTTTTCTCTCTCCAAACCCTCAAAGTCTCAACCCATCGTTGAAAATCCATACACTTTCTCTCTCTTCCATCTAAATGTTTTGTCTCTCCTCCAACGTCCCCAAAAGTCTTCACCCTTTACTACCCCATCTCTCTCTCTCTCTCTCTCCCTTCCTTATATATTATCTCTCTCATCCCAAAACCCCATCTTAAAATTCTCATCATCTCTTTCTACCAATACCACCGTTACCCTCATTATCTTATGAGCTTTTTGTGAGCATTTTGGTCATGAGAAAGCATGGGAAATTGCAGTTGTTCTAAAGCATGGTCTCAGGAAGAATGGAACAAGAGCAGACATGGCAAGAAGCTTCCTTCAAACTTGTTATGGCCAATCGAAAACGGACCCGAAGAGACCCATCGAGAGATCCGAGAAGGAATCCAAAGAGTTGGGATTGAAGATTTCTGCAATTTTTCCTCGTCTGTCCTTTGCCTATGCATTGTTACATGGAACATGAATGGGAAGGTAGTTGCAGTGTTTATGCGTGTCTATGTTTTATGCCTGTTTCTTTCTCCCTCATCTTTATCTCAGTTTTGAGGGATCGAAAATTTTTACAGGTATCTTATGAAGACTTGGTTGAGATTGTGGGCACGAATGATCGCGATTATGATTTGTTTGTGGTTGGATTGCAAGAAGTTTCAAGATGCAATGTAGGCCTCCTTCTCCAAACTGCTTTTGGAGAGAGTCACAGGTTTAGAGCTCTCTAATCTCTCTCTCTATGTCTAAGAGTATTATTCACAATATTTGAATTATGGGTTATCATTTAATTTCCTGTTGATATGACATGTTTCAACTGTTCATGGATCTCTACTGCAATCAAAACCCAATATCATCTTCTCATGATTTTGGTTTTCTAGAGATAATTTTGAACTTGTTTTTAATGGAAAATTTTCTTAATTGATATGCTTATTTTCATTCGTAGGACGTTGAGAAATCTTCAAATGAGTGTCATGTTGAAATTCTTTGAGTGCTTGGAATGAATTAGAGGGCTGTCTACTGGTGTTATATTTAAATTGCTGAATATAAATTCGAAAAGAAATATTTAAATTGCTGATTAAGAGTAGAAAGCCAGATTTGATATTATTTGTGGCGCTCATTTGGTGCAATTCATGTGACGGTACAAAAACAACCACCGTTATAGTTATAATAATAATTATTATTAGAGGCCAGAAACAATGACTAGCTTTTAGGATATTTTTATCCCATGGTCCAAAAATTCTTTGATCTGATGCCATCTTTCTCCCATGGTCCAAAAATTCTTTGATCTGATGCCATCTTTCTCCCAATCTTTTCTAGTCACACGTCCATGGGCTCTCCATTCGAACCTTCCTTGTCTTTCGCATCTTGGATTTTTGAATTATAAAATTTAAATATCTAAAAATAATGTAGATCGAACATATCTATAAATATTTAAAATTTGAACGGTCTAAAATTACAAGATGCATTTGTTTGAAGGCTTGGTCATAACTATCCATCTTGTGGTCAAGATGATCAATTATATGATTTTTCAACATTTTAAAAATCTTTTTAGGGGATTTTTGAGGTGTACCATACTTTTACAATGTTATATAAAACTTTTCTATTAGTTAAACATTGCCTAGCTCATAGCCTGACTTATACCTCAAAATCTGAACCGGAACCTGTCAAGTAGGAGCCTGATTCCAATTTTCTAAACACTTGTTTAAGTGCCCTAGTTATGGATCATGCAACACACGTGCAAGCGTAACATTAGAAATTATTATTTGTTAATCTATTTATTTGGAATTTTCATATTTTTGTTGAGTTCTCTCCCTAGCATGTACCAATATTAGTTTACACTAATTACCCAAAAATATTAATACTGATATCAATATTAATCCTCTATTTAGCCTCTTAGCGGAAGCCACCATGGAATCACTTCATCTTTATGTGTTCGGGACAAAGAACTCAAAAGCTTCGATAAAAGGTGGTTTTCTATCTATGAAATTTTAACCCTCTCTCTCTCTCTAACACACACACGCACTCTCTCTCTCTCTCTAGCACACACACCACACACACACACAACCGTCTCGGTCTCTCTCAAACCCACACATATGCGCACTCTCTCTATCTCTCTCTAATGCACGCACCCTCTCACTATCTCTCAAACGCACAAACTCTGTCTCGTAAACGCTAACGCACGTGGGCACACACACATGCAGGGTCGTATCATGTTGTGTTGTGTTTATGCGTTGTGTTTATTTGCAAAGAAGTGATTGTCTATTGATTATTCTTAGGTATGACCTTTGAACTTTTAATAATTTCGAGCTGGTGCAGATATTAGGGTTGATAAGCATGATGTTGGTGGATTTGGTGGCCTAATTGGAAGAAAGAAAGGAGCCGTGGCTATAGCATTGAACTACAAAGACATTCGTCTAATGTTCATATCATGTCATCTCTCAGGTGATTAATCTTGTTTATTCGTTTTCTTTAATCAGTTAAATAAAGTATTTGATCAAAGATTATTTTTTTTTCTTTTCTTCTTTTTGGTATTTAGTGGTATGAATCGAAGTTGAGACCTAGCGTTGCTAATGTCAACTGTTAACCACTCGAGCCAAGACTAAGTGGTATTTGTTTTAGGTAAAATTACGTATATATCTGTTATAGTTTCTGTTATTACCAAAATACCAAATAGTTTCTTTTATCATTGGAACGTATAATTTTTTCACTTTATAACTAAAATTAAAAAAAAAAGACTTTTTTACCTTTATTCGGTTTTTTAACAACCGAAAATAGGCATAAGCTTGGAATTTGCATTCTTATTTTCAATTGTTGAACAACCGAAAATGTTTTGTTTTCAGTTGTTGAACAACTGAAAACAAGACTGCGTATTCCAGAAGCTTGTTGGAATATGTAGCCATATTTTCGGTTGTTCGACATACGAAAATATCTTTTTTTTTATGTTCAACATCTGAAAATATCTTGTGGGACTGCGTATTCCAGCAAGCTTTTGGAATATACATTCCTATTTTCGGTCGTTCAACATCCAAAAATGTCATATTTTCGGTTGTTAAACAATCGAAAATATGTTAAACAACCGAAAATAGGACATAAGTTTGGAATTTGCATTCTTATTTTCGATTGTTCAACAACCGAAAATGTTATATTTTCTGTTGTTGAACAACCGAAATAGTCCTATTTTCGATTGTTGAAACTGAAATAGGATTGCGTATTCTAGAAGCTTAAACGAGCCCCACTATTTTCAATTGTTCAAGTACCGAAATTAGCTTATTTTCAGTTTTTAAACAACCGAAAATCCAACCATTTCGGTTGTTCAAAACCTGAAAAAAGGGTGAAAATTTTTTTTTAAAAAAATTTCGTTATCAAGTGAATAAAACGGACATTCCAATAATAACAGATACTATTTAGTATTTTGGTAATAATGAAAACTATAACGGATATATACATAAATTTTCTTTTTAATTAGTTTTTTTATACTAGTTCAGATAAGGGCTCCCCTACCCATCATATGAATAGAAATCAAGATGTCATATTGTGGTACTCACCACCTTGACCATCGACCCTTGAGCCCCTTCCCTACTTATTTGCACTTCTTTAAAATACATTGGTTAAAGATATCTTCTTGTAGAAATGAAAAAAATTTAAGAGAAAATAAATATCCATATGAGAAAATTGTAAGAGAAAAATATATTTCCAAGTTTTTTTTAACTAAAATGTGGCTTTATTTGGAAATTTAGTTATCGATCGCCAAAAGATTGTATGTTCCCACAGGAACATTCCGAGATTCACTCCCTTGGAAAACAAAAACTATCTAGGAGTACTTTGTGACCCAAAATTTTGAGGATGTTTCCTCGACCTAGAGACTAATGCCAAGAAATAAATTTTAAAACTAGCAAAAAAAAAGAGATAATCTTTATATGTCCTTAGATTGAATAGAGACCATCTAATTTAGAGGAAATTTTGTAGGGAAAAAAAATCAAATAACCCATTGTTAGAAAATTAAAGAGGAAACCTAAAACCTACGCTTCAATAGCCTGTGTTGGTTAAACCATAAAGTAGATCTCAAAAATTAACTTTGAATGAGAAATCTTCGTAGCAACTTCATCTCGCGTAGAACTCAAAAAATCTATTTTCAATTAAAAAAGACGTCCTAATTAAAATAAAATTCCGAATAACATTGTTACCCCTAATAAAAGTAGTAATTCTATAAGCACTCTAACTACTTTTCGAGCAATTATTAAAACTATAAAAAATCTAAAATCCCTAAAATCTCTAAACAAATTAAAACATAAAAACTAATCTAAAAATCCCAAAACATACATGCCCTAAAATTTAATATGAAAAATTAAAAAATAAGAGGCACCATGTCGTGCGTCACTATACAATCACATCAATGTGGTTAGGGATTCTTAATTTCTTTTTCAAAATTCGTCATCTAGTTATAACAAATTAGATCTCAAATTTTGAGATGGTGAAAGTGCTCTCAAGTGGGTCTTTTGTCCAAGGGAGTAAATTTATAGAATGCTCCGAGGGAGTATACCATATCCTCTCTTATTGAATTATGCAGAAAAATATAGATGAAGTCCAAAATCTCATTTTGGGCACATCTATGTTCATTGTTTTGATTTCTCTTCCACTGTTTCTATTTGGGTGTAGCTCATGAGCATAATGTAGAGGAGAGAAATTCCCAATATCGCCGGATATCGAAATCTATATTCTCAGATGAAAATCCTTATTCAAGAACTCCTCAAATTATAGTTTGGTTGGGTGACCTCAACTATAGAATACAAGGAATTGACACATTATCAGTAAGAAGTCTAATCCAAGAGAACTTTCAAAAGGTATGTGCATTTGGCAATTTCTTCATTAATCAAAATCCATTTAAAGGAAAATTTTATTTTGATATAACTAACTTGCATGCACTGAACTGAATTCCTTGTTCACGCTCTCATCAGCAACTCACAAGTAAGGATCAGCTCTTGCAAGAAGCAGAAAAGGGGCAAATATTCCATGGATTTTGTGAGGGAGCCTTGAAATTCAAGCCTACATACAAATACAATGTTGGAACAAGTAACTATGATACCAGCTATAAGGTTGGGATGATATTCAATTTCTTATAATTCAGTTTCCTAGCTGTTCATTTTAGGATGTGATTTTTGTAGGGTCATGGTTATATGAAATTTGGTAAGGCTGCACCTTAGAACCCCCTGGGAAAATACAATTTTGGTAACAGAAACCATTGTGATTGGGAAAATACAATTTTGGTTACAGAAACCATTGTGATTGCCTGCAAATGTATTTCTGCCTCTAAGGTGGGAATTTGAAGCTTAAAAAAAGTGGTGTGCATATGGTGGATCCATGAAGACATGAAATGGACGGTCCACGAAATGTATCATATGCTGGACCCAATTATAGGGCTCCAAATGTTTTCCTCCTTTTTATGTTCAAATCCATGGTGGCTACGGTGGAGATGAACAATTTGCATGGTTTTTAGCCTTTTAGCACCATAATTGCACATTCCCCTGAAATTAAGGTGCAACTTTATAAAGCGACGACCCTACAAAATACATACTTTTCGAAATATCACGTTGACTGTATCTCAGAAGCAAAATCTTATCTTGATTTCGTACAAGAAATTTCAAAGAAAAAGAAATGCTCAATGTTCTTAGAATTTGATTTGTATACATGTTTTCTTGGGTTTAGCAGGAAAGAGTCCCTTCATGGACAGACAGGATCCTATTCAAAATAGAAAGCTTTGCTAACATTAGTGTTACATTGCACAGCTATGAGTCAATTGACTCCATTAAGGGCTCTGATCACAAACCAGTAAGAGCTCATCTATGCTTGAAAGTGAACAATGGTGATGAGATGTGATGAACCAGGACAAGGAATCATAGGGCACAATCCCCCTTGCATTAATGCAATGGATTAAAAATAACACATGGATTAGGGCACATTTTGCCTCCCAAAAGGACAAAAAGAAAGAGAAAAAGAAAATGAGGGAGTGAGTTTGAGAGTTGTTTAAATGAATCAATGGTGCTTTGCCATGGCAGTCCTACCCATGTGCCCATGTGAAAAAAATGAAGGCTTGCAGACCATATCAAGAAAACCAAAGAGAAGAGGGGAGAGAAAGGAAGTTCATGGCCTCTCATTTTTGGAAGCTGTCCTAGTTTTGCATGCATGACTATTTTTTTTTTTTATTATATATATATATATATATATATATATTTTTTTTTTTTCTTTTAATGGTGAACTAGGGTTATAAAAAACCCAGTTGCGCAATAGCATCAAGTTATTTATGTACAATCTATGGTTGTAAAGAGGAAAACTGGGAATTTCCCATTCCAAATGAAAATTATGTCGTTGGTGGAATCTCTAAACCTTACGAGTTGATTTTTGGAAAATAAAGTACGTGAAAAAAAAAAAAATCGGCAACAAACAAGCAACAATCAAGAAAAATAAAGCAGGAAAGAAATAACAAAGAAAAATAACACTAAAATTTATGAGTTAAGAGCTTCTGCGGACAACAAATTCTTCTTTGACTGCAACTGTAAGTCATACAAAAAGTTTCTCAGAACTTTGATTCCTCAATTAAGGTGACTGATTTAATTTTCTGTAGTGCTTAAAATCATGGACCAGAGGGTTGAACTGCTTATTGGTCTGAGCAAAATCGGCTGAGTTAGTAAGTCTAGCTGACCTCGCCAATAAAAAAATTCAAGAGCAACAGAAAAATGTAAACAAGCTATAAAATTTTATCGAGGTCAAACCTGTTTAGGATCCTCATATCATTGCACAATTTTTAATATTATGAAACACTATTTATAATGATTTGTCGGGATCTTATTTGAGACCCGATTCTTTGGGGGACTCGGACCAGTCCCCCATCAATCCTGGTTCATCTCATGTAGTCCGAGTCAACCCTGCGACTTTTCTAACAGTGCTTTTTGGAAATTCATACTTCCATGAATCATCTCCACTGTCATCTACAAGTAAATGAAGATAAGATGTGCGCTTTCTAAGAGAGATTCGTTTAAGCGAATCTTAGTGTATAGCATACTCCTGCTGGAGGAAATTGTAGACTTTCTCCCTCTGACAAAACACCACTTTGGAAGATTGGTGTCTGACATTTTGAAAATTACCTTAGAATTACTGATTATAGTTATTTGAATTCTAACCTCTAGGAAATCATTACCTTACCATATTTGATTTAGCAAAAAGGTAGCATAATTATCCTTTGGTTTTCTTTTTGAGAGAGAGAGGGGTGTAGAGAATCCTTGGTTGGATGCTAGAGAGAAACCTTGGGTGTAGAGAGGCTTTACGAGAGACTGAGCTTGTGTCTCTATTATCTAAAGTAAAAGTTATCTTGTAATTTTTTTCACTGATTAGTGAAAATAGATTGGTTATCTTCACTTGTAGATATAGTCACATCTGATACGAACACATAAAATATTTATATTCTTTTTGCATTATCTGTTTCTTTCTTTGGTTTTTTTGCTTGTTTCCGGCTGTCTTTCTTTCGCTCTCTACTTGTCAAAAATCAACTAGTTGAATTTTAGTGTTTCCGTGTACAACATCCTTTGCGAGTATAGAAATGTTTGGCATTGCTTTTTCCTTTCCTTGACCTAGTTGACACCTTATATTATAGAATTAAGTTGCACATAAAAAACCCATTGAAAAAGGTTATTTTGACGTTGGAAAAATATCCAATTGATCATCTTGATGTCAATATGTATAAATATGAAAAAGAAAAATATTTCAATTCCCAAAAATAGTATTTTCAAGATTTTTATGAGTTTATATATTTGCTTGATTTGAGCTGCTTTTGGAGTTTAAAAATTTTAAAATTTAAAATAAAAATAGATTTTTTTTGGCCATTACAAGGATTTTCAACACTACAATTATATCTTCCAACCAAGTTTGGATTTACAATTTGTTTGAGGTTGCATCCTTATACAATCCACACCCTACTTTGGAGAGAGGGGCATGGATAAGGACACTTGGTGCTCTTTCACCATCATTTCTCCGTATTGCATTCCATGGTCAAAAGCAAGAGAGGACTTTTAGAATTTGGATTGAAATGACTAAAATACCTTTGCGCTATTATGATGAAATCATCACCACGATGACCATCATGCCAAATGATGGGATGAGGGTTGTCAACCCACCATGGTTATAGTTTTTTTTTTTTTAACAGTTAAAGTTTTTTTATTGAGTTAAAATGAAAAATACAGAAAAAGAAAAAAAAAAAAAAAAAACAAGAAGAAGAAATAGAAGAGAAACAAACAAGAAGGAAAAAAAAAAACAACAGAACAAATAGAAAGGGCGGGAGGGCAAAGAGGAGGAACAACCTCCAATTATATTGGACACGTTTGTGATAGGGCTGCCCTATGTACAACACAAGCCTCCAACAAGTAATGATAATAGAATATATTAGACCCGTTTGTGATAGTGCTGGCAAAGGGCCGGGCCGGGCCGGGCCTTGTAAAATTAGAAAAATATAAATAAAAAATAATGAAAAATTATGGGCTAAAGACCGGCCCAAGACTGTCTTGGCCTTGCCCTCGGGCCAGATTTTTCTCGGTGGGGCGGGGCCACTAGGCCCATTGCCACCCCTAGTTTCTGACAATGGTCTTACAAATAAAATTGGAGAAGTATATCCTAAAACAAGGAGGATATGATCATTTTTGGCTGTTGGATTTCACGTCATGCACCTGGAGTGTAGCATAGTAAGTAGGCTCAAATGAAAATATATTTCATATTTTAACCTTGAAAAAAGCCCTGTTGATATTAAGGCTAAAGACTGAGGGGGCGTGACATTTATGCATCACCTTGGAGGCAATTATGGTCTTTAAAATATTTTTGTTAAGAAAATTTTATATAAAACCTCGAGCTTATAGTACAAAAGTAAGGCTCACCTATAATAGCCACGTAAAAAGGTTGTTTCGATGCTGGAAAATTCTCTAATTAATTATTTCGTTTTACATATGAATATGGAAAAGAAAAAAGATTTCAAGTTTGAAAAATAATGCATCTTGTAATGTATTATTTAAAAGAAAAAATTTATATAAACTTGACACCCTAAACAATCAAATTAAGACACATCTCAAAAAATTTAATAGAAGAAGTTGTTTAGATGCCAAAAAATCCTCAAATCCTATCATCTCGACCTTGCGATACATGGATTATCTAGACTATCAATTTTAAAGATTTTTAAGTATTCATAGATCTGTTTGATCTATACTATATTGGAAGCTTTAAATTTTATAATTAGAGATGAAAACAAATTTTCAGGCCATCATAAAGATTTTTGACATTGAAATATCTTTCAATACCATGTGAAGGTGCACGTTAGTTTAACTGTTTAAGGCTTCAGCCTTATACAACCGACACCCTTATTTAAACATTTTATTTATAAAATTTTCAAGTGTTTATAAATCTGCTTCATCTAAACAATTTCAAAAGTTTAACACCAGCACTATATCTGCTAGTATAATTTGGTAGTGCCCCTTAGCTTTGATTGTTTGAGCTTGAAACTTTTTATTAAAAGGTAAACAAAGATTTTTAGAACCAAGAAGTTACACTCACAAACGAACCTCGACTTTTTGTTTTTTCCACATCCGCATGTTTAATTTTGAAAAGATTCTCATTGTTAAAAGGGTGCAATTGGCATACGGATGCATCCGTAGGTGTAGAGGTAAGGTGCACCGTCAAATTTTATCATGGTATATAATTTTGATGTAAAATGTTCTTAGGATTATCCCAAAATCTATTTTTATGTCTAATTATAAAATTTTAAATTTAAAAAATGGTTAAAATTAAGTAGATCTATAAACATATGAAAATCTTGAAAATGGACCGTGTTAGATAATATGTTGTAAAATGCACTATTTATGAGACTTAAAATCCTTTTATTTTTCATAGTCATATATCTCAATGTTGAAATGATCAATCACAGGGTTTTTCAACAATAAAACTATATTTTCCGATGGAGTTTTGAGGGGCATCCACAGTTCTACATTATAAGGTAGTATACTTCTATAAATTTTTTGTTATCAAAAAGATACATTATTTTCAGAGCTCGTAAATCTTTTTTTTTTTTTATTCAGATCCTATAGTTTTTAAGGTCGAGATGATTGATTCAAGGATTTTTCAACACCAAAATTGTATTTTCAAATAGATTTAAGGTGACACTATAAATAGTGAAAACAAATGTATTTTCCAATGAGAGCAATGTAATGACTGGATTGGGCTATGGTGTCCTTATTTGCCATATACAAAGGACATCATATATAAAGGATCTTAACCGTCCATTGATTGGGTGAAAGGTGATATGGAGAGAAACTGGGATCCACAAGTAGGGTTATATCCTATTTTGATCGATTATACTCCTTCCATAACCATCTATCATCTTAATGGATGGTGACCACCCAATGGACTATGATTTTATGAGAGTGTACAACATTATGATGTACGTGGAGGCTTATACTAGGCACCCTCCTTATACTATAGAAGTAAGGGGCACCTTTGAATTTTGCTTGGAGATGTAGTTCAGGTATCGAAAATCGTATGATGGCTTGAAAATCTATTTTTGTCCCTAGTTATGAAATTAATAGTTACAAAATGATACAAATTAATGATTTATAAAAACTTGAAAATCTTGAATATAGATGATTTAGATAACTTGTCACAAGATACGCTATTTTTATGACTTCAAAATCTTTTTTTCTTCATATCCACGCCTCTTAAGGTCGAGATGATCAACTAAAAAGTTTTTCCAACATCAGAACACTCCCTTTTAGAGGATTTTTTGAGCTGCGTCTTACTTCAATAGTATAAGATTGACACTTTATATAAACTTGGGGACCGCATTTCTACATTGCTGGTCCCCCATGGTATAAAGTATCCATCTTTAAGATGAATGCAAATAGGTGGTCCATCTAAAAATAATTAAAACTAACGGTCCAAATATTTTTTATTAGAATTATTATTTGTAATTTTTGAAATTTATTTATTTATTACCTGCCCTTAATAAGTCAAAAAAATCCCTCTCAAAAAAAGATCTTTAAGAGGTGACTTATTTCTAAATGGACTCATAGAATCGTGTCCTAATCTTTTCCATGATATAATTTGACTTATTATATGGTCCTACGAATTGCATTGTAGGCAAATTAGTATCTCTCTGTCTCTCTTATCCAAAGGCTACGATTTTCTCTTAGTTTAGTATGCGGTCTTCCTAATTGCTTTACAGGTAAATTAGCCTCTCTCTCTCTCTCTCTCTCTCTCTCTCTCTCT